CCCAGCATAGCCTGTAGGTAGGACAAACTGTAGGTCAAATGTTTTGCAGATGGTCTGGTGTTCTAATCCCTCCCCTGGAAGTCTTGCCTAGTTACAGAAGATGGATGGCTAGTTTAGCCTCCACATCCCCTACTGCTAAAAGTCTCAGCTAAGATCATCCTTGTAGATTCCTGGGAGTTTACACTGCACTAGATTTGTAGACCATCCCCAAGATGCCCCCCTTCCAGTTCCAGCTGTCTCTCCCAATACTCTCTCCCTCCATCCTTCCCTCAACCTGATTCCCCTTGTTCCCATTTCTACCTGTGCTCCCAACTCCACCCAGTGGTTAACACAGCAAAAATGTTTCTAGCTTTGGATTTTACTTCTTAGACTCTACAGAAGGTCCAATAGATGAATGCACACATGGTAGCAGAGATATTCACCACAGCTCAGAGCTGGAGCCATCCAGGCACTTCACTTGTTGTTGAACGGACAAAATTCATAGAATGAAATGCTGCTCCACAATCAAAAGGTAAACCATTTTCAGATGTATGCAGCAGATGTGTAAATCATTATGCTAAAGTGCAAGTAGTCAGACTCACAAGAGCACGTATTTCCTGATTTCGTAAAAATCTCATTTCTACAATAGGCTATAGAGACACGGCAGTGGTTTCCTGGGATGAGTATCAAAATGGGGATTGGAATATTATGAGGCAAAAGAAACATGTTATAATTGTATGAATTTTTTAAATCTCAACACAATGGGTACTGAAAATAGATACAGAGCACAGGAATGTTACCTCATTAAAATTTTGGATAAATGAACCAGTGACATGACTTAGCAGATGAAGGTACTTGTAGGCAAGCCTGATGGCTTGAGCTTAACCTCCAGGACACACACAATTGGAGAAAGAGCTGACTCCTACAATCTCCACCCCAAACAAACAAATGTGATAAACGTAATAAAAAAAAATCTTGGTTAGCTATGAATTATGTGACATAGACTGTCACAGACAATCACCTTCAGAGGACAACTGTCATTCTCTAGATCAAAGTTTCTTACTTTATATTACTCCTGGTAACTGTCTTGTTATAATTATACACAAAGAAATCACAAGTTTCTAAATCAATATCTAGAATATGTATTTTATTATATTTAAATTTTTATTTATTGATTTATGATTATGATTATCATTATTTGTGTGTGCGTGCGTGCTTGTGCATGTCAGAGTATGTATGTAGAGGTCAGAGGATAACTTTGGGGGTCATTTTTCTCCTTCCACTGTGGGATCAGGGGATTGAACTCAGGTTGGCAGGCCTCTTCAGTAAGTACTTTCATTTTTACCTGCTAAGCCATCTCACTTGCCTGGGGTTTTATTTTTGGAAGTTCCACTAACTCCAAAGTTCTGCCTCTTCTACTTTCTTGGTCAGGGGGCTGAAGATTACGTCCTAATATGTCTGTCATCATGATGGTGATCTTGAGCTTAATAAGGCTACACTGTCAGAGAAAGCAGCCTAGGGGACAAGCATCCATTGTGCTTGCTTTGATGACTTTCCATTGGGCTCCATTGATTCATCCTTGCAGGGCAGGATAAAAAGACCCATAGACCAGAATAGATGTGCTATGGAGTTTGTGATTGAAATAGGAATGAAAGTTTTGCCATCTTTGAGGCAGGACGTGTTCATCCTTTGCCTGGACACCCTTCTTTAGGAACAGCATCCCAGAAGCCAGACTCAAGGCTTCCTTATGGAAGGGTGAGGCTGAGAATGGGGCTTTCAGAATCACTACCAAAAGACCTCATCAGGCTTTGTCATAAACAAACAAACAAACAAACAAACAAACAAAAAACAAAAATAAAAAACAAAAAACATCTCACCAAACTCAAAATAAACTAAATTGCTGGCTAAGCAGACTACATGGTCCTGGACCAGGGTTTAAACATGCAATGATATGTCTAGAAAAAATACCGGCTCCTTCTTCAGTCTCATCACCAAGGAGACCTAAGGTAGGCAGGTTCTTACTTCCGAGTGATACACATTCTTTCACTGGTGAAATGAGCCAATCAAGCCAAAGCAGTTTTATTGGGTGCAACTCTCAGTAGGTTCACCAGTCCCAAGAAACAGGACCCCTGATGCCATGAAGGAGGAGACAGGAAAAGTAGGGGGTGGCAGAGAAAGTGCATGCACAGAGTGAGGGGAAAGAGAACGCAGTGAGAGGGAGGAAGAGGCAGAGGGGCAAAAGAGGGAGAGGGGAGAGAGAGAGAGAGAGAAAGAGAGAGAGAGAGAACACAGAAAGAGAGAGAGAGAGAGAGAGAGAGAGAGAGAGAGAGAGAGAGAGAGAGAGAGAAAGAAGAAAAGCAGAGAGCATGGGAGCCAAAACCAAAATGTCTGGGTAATATAGGGAAGCCCAGCCCCTGCGCTGGAAGTTCAGGGTAGAGGGGGTGTTATTCCAGGCACACCTTGAAACAGGTAGGAACTGAGGGATGTTGGGAGAACCTGGAGGCCAGGTCTGCTTTCTTCAATAAGGCACCTCAGCTGCTTGTCCCGGGTCTGAAGCCCAACACTGAGAACATCACTGGGGAAGTTTGCCGAAAGCCGTTTTCTGTTTCAGCTGGTTCCGGGTGGTGCTCCTGGGCCACATTTTGACTAACAGAGAATTAGATGGTTTTCTACTTCTTGGAAGAACAGAATACAGTTTCCTTGGAGAATGACCCTACAAGAAATCATTTCCCCTTTCACTGACATCCTTTTAATTTCACGCAGAATCAGAGTTGTCTGTGGGACTCGAGGATCTGCAGGATAATTTGATGGTTGCTTTTGAGCACACTACAAAGGAACAGTGGGTTACACCGGGCATCTTGGACACTTCAGAGACTTGTGCTGAATCAGCAAGTGGGTAACCCTGAGGGGGACTGGAATCTAGAAATCTGCCCTGTCTATGATTGTCAAACTTCGTACAGTTTCTATTACTTATAAAATATTTTTGTGATTGTGAATGTTTGTGGGGCACAGTACGAAGCCCTGATGCAGATACACATTGGGTAGCAACCAATGGCATTTACATATCCACCGGCTGAAATATGCAATGTTTCCTTGTAATGAGAACATCCAAAATCCTTTCTTCTGGGTATTTTGAAACATAATATTTTGAAACATTTCTCTTTTTGTTTTCCTATAGTCAGTGCACCAAGTATAAAATACAAGAGTTTATTTTTCATTTCTAGCCCTTCAGCCTGTCCCTTACCCTCTTTCTTCCTGTCCTCACCTGCCTCAAGTTATCACCATTCTCCTCTGACGACTTTTTTAGACTCCACAAGAGCATGTGATCATGGGATGTTAGTCTGTCTGTGCCTGGCTTATTGCACCTCACTCCTGATGCTCATCTATAATGGAGCAAGTAATAGAATGTCATTCTCTCAGCAGCTGAACAGTGTTCTGTTGTATTTATCTGTCTCCTTTTCTTTGTCCATTCATAGGTAGTTGGCTGCATATTATCACCATCATGGACGGTTCTGCAGAAAACGTGGGCCAGAGGATGTCTTTCTGAAATACTGATTTCATTTCCTTTAGATTTATACCCAGTAATAGGATTTGTGGGTCATATAGCAGCTCTGCTTTCAGTGTTTTAGTTTAATGTTATTTATGCTATCATTGTTTAAGAAGAAAAAGTTACTTATCTCCAAACCAGTAGCTAACGTATTCAAAAGACAAGCTACTGTAATTTAATGTTCTGCAGTGTCTTGTCAGACTTTTTCTGAGCAGTAATGCTGCATCAACTTAATTAATCCCATTTAACCCTCCCAATGGCCCAGGGAGGCAGGCTCAGGGTCACAGTTACTTTATAGGCGAGGGCACTGGTGCTTAGAGAATAATGTTCTTGGATCACACTGTTTGCATGCTTGACCTCTCCCCTAATGCCTTTTGACTCTCTCACAGGTCACAGATTTCTCAGCCACAGCTGCACATTGAAGTTGTCTTCTTAGGTAAGGTCACTGCAGCAAAACTGCAAAAGACTTAGCGGCCTAAACAATGGGAAAGGCTAAGGAAGCCAAATTGCTCAGCAGTCCAGTCCCTGATGTCTCTTTCGCACGTTTGTAGATGGTCAGGTTGTTGATGTTTCCCCACAAGAGAAGGTTTCTCTCTTGTGGCTAATAAAGCCATTCATGAGGACTTTCCCTTTCTGACTTATTCAGCTCCTGAAGCTCCTGCTTCCAGATATCATATGGTGGGGACGGCGGTGTGGCATTAAATCTTAAACATATGAATTTGGAAGAACTGCAGTGAGTCCATAGGAATCACCTAGGGGCCTTCACTAATGCTGGCACCTGAGTCTAAACAATACTAAATAAATCATTTGAAGAAAGCAGGCATCTATTTTCCTACCTGCAGGGATTGCCACGTACTTGGATGGAGTTGCAGAGAGCACTCTAGAGAGACACACTTTGGCATGGATTAGGATGAGTCTTCTTGTAAAAGGAAGCTTGCTTTGGTTGCCACTAACAAAACAAAGGCTAAAGGGTTGATAGGGGAATCAATGATGAATGACGATAGTGACTAATTGAAATAGCCATGCCACCTATCAGACCCTTTATTTTCATTGGGGGCTGACAAATGACAATTCAGTATCGAGATCCATCGCCTCTTCAGTTATGGCTCCATCTGTAAAGTCTACCAAGAATCCATCTCCGACTATGGTTGGCTGATCCTTCCTAGGACTGAAGCTCAGAGAGAAGAGGGGCAAATCTTTGGTATTATAAGCAAGGAAGAGATTTTGACTGTTAACATATTTTTACTTTACTTTCACTTGGACTTTTAAAAAAAATCTCCACTCCAGCATAAATGTTTGTCATGTTTTAATTTCATAGTGCTTACGCGGTTCTAATATGTTTTCTCTTATTTCTCTTACCTACAACCCTGTACTTTCCCTCTCATGCCTACTCTATTTACTCCTATTCATTCTCTCCAAACCTTCCTCAGTATTTCACTCTCCCCACCCTCTCCCCATGTCTCTCTGAGCATAGGAAAGAGGGTGACCATTGCTCTCTACTACCACAAAATACATAGTTGAGTTTCTCACAGCTGGGGAAATCACAGGGTTAGCACATCTGGAAAGTAACGGATAAGCCTCACCTAGGGAAAGTCACTTTCCTGATCATGATATCTCTCCTGCCAGGTAATATCACTTATCTTCTTGAAGTATCACTTTCAACGGCTTTAAATGATTTTTAAGCCTCTGCTCACTCCAGCACCTACTGCTCACTGTCCCCCTTTCTGCTGCTTCTCTTAAGCTGATTCTTGCACTTACTCCACGTAGTTCTCTTCTGTGGACAGTATCCAGAAATCTGTCCTAACGCATGCTTGGTGTGAGGCTGCTACACCACGAAGATAAAGAACAAATCCAGCTCATTCAGAGCATTCCTTCTCTGCCCACTCTCCTGCAAAAAGTCTCCACAGTCGCGAGTTTGTTTTGTTTGGTCACAACTCCTGACAGGCTTACCGCAATCCATCATAAGACACATCCCAATTTCAGAGCCATTAGGATGCGAAAACCCTGTCGTCAAATCACTGAAATGTGGTGAGATGAAAGGAAAGTCTGTATTGACAGACATTTCTAGAGAAATCCTCCAGGAAGAGGGCATGTGACAGCACATTGATTTTGCTCAAGAGGTCTGTGTGTTTTCTGTTGTCACTTCTTTTCCTCAGAGGTGCTCACTGACAAGGCTGGTGGACAAAGCGGCCAGAATGGTTCAATGTTTCCTAGACCCTTGGTCCCTCCACCTGAGCGCAGGACGCAGATCATCATTGCACTGCAGGACCAGGAGTTCAGCTTCCTTGGGGGCAACCAAGGGATTTCTATGTGGTGGTCTGCATTTAGGTTATGGAAACACAATGAGATGAGGGCTCAGAAATGTTCTTAACACACACAAAACATAACTGTGGGGGAGGCGAATATGCTAATGAGCTCGACTATGCGTTTCTCAATATGCAAGTCAAAACATCCAGTTGTACACCATATGTATACATAATACATGTATGCATTATATAAACATATATACATTATATACACACTATATACATATATACTATATATATACATATATATATATATATATATATATATATATAATCTGAATACCTATCACTGGGTATTTGATGACACTTGTTTCTAGAAGAAAGGATTGGATCACATCTTCTAAGCTACCTCTGAAAGAGACTTGGGTTTGCATATATATATATATATATACATATATATATACATATATATATATGTATATATATATATATATTTTTTTTTTAAATTTAAACAAAAACTAGAAAAAAGACTTGGGTTTATTTTTTTGAACCAAAAAAAAAGAATAGATTTGGAAAACAAATATATTGATATAGAAGGCTATTGGTGGTATTTTACATAAAAAAGTAGTCTTAAAATTAATATATACATCACAGTCCTTTATTTTGTGAATCCCATGTACACATTCATGAAGGAAGTTTGTAAAGGTTAAGAACAGATATCCCTAACTAAAGGTGTCCTCTCTCTCTCTCTCTTTCTCTCTCCCTGTTTGTGTGTTGGTGTTTAACTCCTTTTAGAGAGAATCTGTTCAGTTCAGGCCCACTTATTCTGTCAGGATTAAAAAGCAGGCTGTGAGATGTTGCTGATAGATGTGGGTCCTTGTAAGGAACACATAAGAAGTCCTAACTCAGCCTTCTCTTTCCCAGGCTGTGACTCCATTATCTAACAAAAGAGCTGTGCTGGTAGAAGAGCCCTGCTTTGTGCCTGGAGTTGGTGACCAGTGACAGCGGAGTCTCAGATGGGAGAGTGTGTGATAGACAAACCCTGAACTTATTGCATTCAAGACACTCAGAGACGGGCTCCAGCAGAGATCTCCATGTTTTATTATTATAAAGTGCCTTGAAAATAGCGCATGTATGCCAACAGTGATTGCAAGGCCACTTGTAGATTTTTGTTGGCATCATGACTGATAATTATCCCAAGTCCTTTGAGAAGTTTGGCATTGAGTGCACATGTAATCTAAGGGGTACTCATTTTTGGAGGTCTCTCAATTCTAGTTGTTTTTTTTTTGAAAGACATCAGCTCCAAATTCTAGATAACCTCAGTTCCTGGTGTGGTGATGCTGGTGCCATTTCCAATTGTTGCCAATAGAAAACCACTCTCCTACTCTCATTGGGTAATTGGAGATGCCACAGTGCCAGGTGTATTTGTAGGTAATTTTATTTGACTCCTGATGGTTTCACCATGACGATGGATGAGAGGTTTCAGAAAATTCCCTTAATGCCCCTCTTCTGCCAGAATCATGACTACAATGGTGGGAAAACACCAAGGAGCATCAACCAAATATAGCCCCATGAGGACCGTCCCTTATAAACAATGACCATGTAGAATCTCAGAGTTCTTTTCCCTTCACAGGCTTGGAATCACCTGTGCTCACTTCCAAATGGTGTTGAATTGGTAAATTCCTCACCATAAAGCCAATAGCACAGACACCGAATACCAATGTTTAGGGTACCATTATTCAAAACAGCCAAAAAGGGGAAACAATTTGAACATCTGTTGATGGATGATGGGTTTAAAATAAATGTGGTACATATGACATGCATATGTACATACATTAGAATATTACTCACCTCTAAATGAGAGCAAAGTTCTAATACATACTGTAATATAACTGAGCTTTGAAGACATTATATTTCTTCAATAAGGCAGATACAAAAGGACAAACCTTGTAAGAGTCTACTTATATGAAGTTCCTAGAAAAATTATGCCCATAGCAACGGGAAAAGGGAAGCTGTTTGCCAGAGGCTAAGGGGAGGAAAGAAGGGAAGTCACTGCTTACTAGATAAAGAACAGAGTTCTAGACATGGATAGACATGATGTGAATGTACTTAATAACAATGAAGCATTCCCTAAAAAGACCAGAATGTTAAACTTGTTGTTACTGATATTTTATCTCAAATGAAAGTAAACAAATAAAAGTCATTAAACATTTCTTTGCACCATTATAATTAAATGTACCTATGTTCTGCTCCAACAAACAAACAAACGAAAGAGAAATCACTAGGAAATATTTGGATTCGTTCACTCAGAGGGTGTCCCAGTTACTATTAACTGTCAGCGCGACCCAGCAGAGAATCACCTGAACAAGAGTCTCAGGAATTGTCTTCATCAGGTTAGAAAGTAGGCTTGCCTGCGAAGGAATCCCAACACTGTGAACTGTTGCAGGAGGCCCCGTCCTCTGTGAGAAGCGCCATTGTTTGATCAGGTATTCCTCAGCTATGTCCTAGCCAAGCACTAGGAAGAGAGCCAGCAAGCAACTCTGCTCTATGGTTTCTATGTCACGTTCTGGCTTGAGCTCCTGCCCTGCTGTCTTTCAAGGATGGACTGTGACCTGGAGGAATAAGACAAATAAACCCTTTCCTCCCCCGAGTTGCTTTTGGTCAGAGTGTATTATCACAGCAACAGACAGGAAACTAGGAGGGTGAGTAAATGTATTGAAAGGAGTTGAACTATTTTGAGAGTTGTAAGTGCTTTTCTTGTATGGCACAGATACAAACACAGGAGGCACTGTGGGGATGAAACAAAGGTCGTTCCCAAGAGCCATTCCTGCACATCTGTGTTTGCAACACTTTCTCTCTCTTCCTCAATAGCCTACATTTGCCAAGTGCCCTGCATCAGCTGGGGGCTGCGGGAGGTCAGCCATCAGCAAGCAGTGTTTGGTGCCACGATTACTAAGAGCTTTCTTCATCCATTTACAACTGAGTTTAAAAATAAGCGAGGAACAGGAGTGCGAAATAAATGAAATGGAATCAGCTTGAGGCCTACCTCCCTTTCCTCACATGTTGCTCTTTGATTTTGTGAAATCTTCTGTGCATAGTGGAAAGAGCAGGAGCTTTGGAGCTCAGAGGTGATTTTCTTAGTGATAGAGTCCCAGACCTCTCTCAGCCTCAGTTTCCTTACTTGCAAATTAGAGGAAATGAAGTTTTCTGAGTTTCTTTGCGGAACAAGAGGGATAGGAAAAGTGCTTGAGCCGTAAAAGAACAGCACACAACAAATGTCAGATAACATCCAGCTCATCAGCCTCCCCCTCCCCTCCCCTCCTCACAGCCGAACAAGACATCAGAGACGGGGCTGGAAGGCATAGTGTGCAGGGTAGGGGGAGCATGAGCCCTGATGAATGCCAGCTGTCAGCAGTGGAATCCCAGCTCAGCAATTTACCAGCTGTGCAACCCCAGGCATTTTGATCTCTCACTTATTTGCAGAGCTGGAGTGTGGCATATGAAATTATAAATATGCTTTACATTTTTATGGAAACAGTGTGGGCTAGAGTTTACACTTTTGTAAAGCACACTTACATGACTGTGGTGCACACGGGAGGCTCTCTACATGCCAAGTGGCATGTCTGATGAATGAGCACCCATATTCAAATTAAAAAATAAAAAATAAAACCTTTAGCCAGGCTTGAGGGAAATATAATAGCCCTTCTGTTCTTCCTAGATAAGCTAGAAAAGAAACGGTCACATTTAAAAGTAGAGTATTAAAAGTTTATCAAAGTGTTAAAAATTACATATTTTCTGGTAATGTGTTAGGGATTAAAGGCATGAAAAATGCTGTGTGTGTACTTTGTGATGACAGTAGTATTTTCAAATTTTATGTGTATGACTGTCTCGCATGCTTGTGTGTATGTGGAGTTCCTGCATTTCTGGTCCCCTTAGGGGTCAGAAGAGGTCTTCAGATCCTATGAATTAGAACTATGGGTGGTAATGAGCTATCTTGTGGGTGTGGGGAACCGAACCTGGTTTTCTACAAGAGAAACATTAGTGCTCTTAAATGCTGAGCCATCTCTCTAGTTCCTAATGCTGCTATTTTTACAACTTAGTTTAGTAATTTTTCTTCTTTTTGAACTACAAAACTGCATTTATTAAAATTATCAAGAGTACAATTCCATGACCTTAATTGTATTCCCAGTGAAATGCATATCCCATTATTCATCTCAACAATTTTTATCTTAGAAATCTGAACATTTGTACTTCCTTTCTAAATTTTTTTATTCCTTGAAAGCTTCATATATTTATAAAATATATATTGATTCTATCTATCACTACTACCTCCCTCTGACTCCCCTTTCAAGCTCTAGGTCCAATTCTTTTGTGGCTTTTTATTCAA